ATTTTATCATGATGCATTGGTTAGGCAAAATTTTTTATATGTGAGTGCTTAAAACCACTAGTTCAATATTAACCACAAAGTAAAAGTTTTATTATATCAGAATCTTGCTCAGATTATAAATCAGATTTCCACAACTGTGCAACATAAATAATTGCTTTCAGCACATCCAACTGACACAGCTTCATGGCACGTGTACATTATCAGAGTATGGTCAAAGTATATGACAAAGTAATTTTACTACATCATTGGGATTCTAATCTGCTTCCCTTTATTGTAAATAAATTGAACTTAACCAAACAACTGTAGCATAAAACTGAATTATGTTTTATGAATCAGAATCAGGCTTACTTCCATGACAGGATGACACTATCCTTTGCAGACTGTTTCATATCATTTGCTTCAAAGACTGGCTAGTCATTTCTCATGTACTCTCTGGTCTTGCACTTCAGTGTAATCTTCCTTCTTCCCTTAACCTGTCATATTAGATATTTTTTCCTATTTATCTATACAATGGAAAATCAGCTAGACTATATGCTGTGACTACTTCTTAATAGGGAAAAATAAATCAGTGCCCTCTTGGCTTTTGAACTCACACAAGTGGAGAAATCCAACTTATTGTATTTAAAATGTCACACAAACTCATTTCCTGACTTTAATGCTTATGGTCTATTACTAACCTCAGACAAAAGAGGGTTTTGCTTCTAGTTCTTGATTTTGTGTCTACTGTTTAATTTGGGAGGTTAAATTTAATATTCATCTTCATTATGCATACAGAAGTACAGAAGTCCTCAGCTGTCATAGGAAATCAAATTCTGTGAGTACACTGAAGCTTTGTATGTATCACAGACTTTTATCTAGCCAAAATATTGCAGTGCTAGATATTGATTTTGATATTAAATTTGTAAAGTGTGTTTTAACCTGGATATCCTATTTGCTGATGCAAATAATTCTTGGCAGAATTTGGATAATTTGATATGGAAGTATTGTATTAATTTGGAAAAACATCTATCTGGATGTCAAATAAGCAAATGTGTACATCAGCTGTTCAGGCTGATAACTTTAAGGAAAGGGATAATTTGCATAATTTGTCACAAGTATCTCTAGGTTGATTTTACATTTGCCTCTGATCAATTTTTCATTGTCATGTTTGCATTTGCAAGCATTTGTTCTATGTCCCCTTTTTAGTTGGGCTACTGCTATAAATCTGTGCTGTTTCCCTATTGGTTTTACTAAACACTCTGGGGTTTGATTGGAATTTCTGGTGTCAGATATGGTAGAGACTGAATATTTAACACATAGTTTAAATAGCCCTCTAGTGGTCTTACAACAAACAGGAGAAAAAAGAATTGGGGTGATTGAGGTGTCAGGGGGTGGGGGAGTGGGGAGATGAAACTTTCAGTGTTCCTTTGACTAGCAAAAGTAATATATTTACATACCAGGTGCATGTACTTAAGCTTTAACTTAAGCATATAGATTAAATACTGTGACTATTTCTTAACAAGAAAAAATAAATCTCTGCCTTCCTGGCTTAGATGACAGTTTTATTTGACAGAAATGGTTGAAGAATGACTTGAAGCCGTAAGCATCTGTCCATTTATATGGTTGCATTATTAGTTTATTTCTTTGCATAGTTTTAGTCCATTCTAGCTTGTATTTTTGAAAAGATGGACAATGCAAAGCAAGGAGGAGCAGTTGGTAGACAAGATGTTTATACTGTAATTCAGAGGGACCATGAAAGGCTGGAGAAACGGGCTAACAGGAAACTCATGAAATTCAACAAGGGGGAGTGACAAGTTATACCTGAGGGGGAACAACCCCAGGCACCAGAAAACACTGAGGGGTGACTTGTTTTTGCAGGGTTGCAAAGATAGCATTGGGAGTCCTGGTAATCAAAAAGTTGACCATGAGCCAGCAAAGTGGTGTTGTGACAAAAGTAGCCAGTAGTGAGCTGTCAGAGCATTATCAGCAGTGTTAGGGAAGTCACCAGTGTGAGGGAAGTTATCCTTCCTCTCTATGCGGCAGGGAAAGTACAGCGTGTTTGGAGCGCTGCATCCATTTGTAGGGTCCCCAGGACAAGTGAGCAATTCTCAAAAAGGCCATGAAGCTGATTATTGAATAGAAGCATGTCTCATAAGGGAAGTCTGAGAGAGCTGGCACTTCTTGGCCTGGAAAGGCAACTTGGCAGGAAATCTTATTAATTCCTAAACAGAGGGTGTAAACAACATGACACAAATAAAAGCATCACGAAATTCCATCTGAACAGAACAAACCTGTTGTTGCTGTTGTTGTTGTTGTTGTTGTTGTTGTTGTTGTTGCAAGCTGTTTTAGTTTAACGAGATTACAACTTTGAAATTAAGAGGCTTCAAGTGAAAGTGTGGAAAAGGAAAAGAACAGCTCTTTATTAACAAATCCGAATAAACAACAATGGTGTAACCAAAACTTTCAAAAGAAATAAAATAAAGTCCTAATTCCTCAGGTGGGGGGGGAAAATCTGCGGCAAAGCAGGAGGGGTCCGAGGGCGAACTGTCCCCGGCAGTTCAACAGCTGCTCGCAGACACAAGAGCGACCAGCAATGAAAGGGTCCTCCTTCCCACAGGAGCAGCCTGAGGTCAGGCAGCTCTGATAACGCAGCCTCATGTCCTGAGGGCATAATACCTCACTCCGAGATGGGGGTTTCTCTCAGTCGCTCTCCAAGCGGTATCCGGAGGATGAGGCGGATGAAAACCGAAAGCAAATCCCGCTCTGCCCGTGGGTGGAAAAAACAAATCCTCCGGACAAAAGGGCTTCCGAGGGGCGGCGGCTCTGTCCTGCTTTTTAAAGGGTCTCCCCCCAACTCCCCCTTTCCCGGCTCCCACACTGCCTCGATGTACGGCCCAGCTCCCTCCCCCCCTCCTGCCTCCCCCACCTCGGAAGAAACAGATGGGGGGGATGGAGGGAGGGGCGGTGATCGACACTGGGAAAAAATTCTAACATCTCTTTTCAAAACTGTGACACAAGCATGATCAAATTCTGGCACAAATTGCCCAGTGAGGTTTTAGAGCTCCTTCAGCTCTCTGTGGTCCTTTGCCAGTACAACTTTGATCTTTCCAGTACACCTCTATGCAGAGGAATGCAACATCCCAGGGCAAGAAATTAATACCCGGTGGGCAGTGGTGCAGTAAAAAACATTACCACTATCAGACTTTCTCCAGAATGTCTAGAAAACTGCCTGGCAGAAAAGGATTTGGGTATGTTGATTGACAGCTGGTTGAAACATGAGCCAGCAGTTTGGTTCAGAAATAGTGTGGCCAGCAGGACCAACCAGGGCAGTGATTGTTCCCCAGTAGTCAGTACTGGTGAGGCCACACCTTGAATTCTGTGCTCAGTTTTGGGCTGCTTCTTTGTTGAAACATTAAGCATTTTGGTGCTGGAGCATGTCCAGAGAAGGACAGGAGAACTGGGGAAGTGTCTGGAGCACAAGTCCCATCAGGAGCAGCTGAGGTAGTTGGAGTTGTTTAGTCTGAGGAAGAGGCTCAGGAATAGCGTTGTCACTCTCTACAGCTACCTGAGAGGAGGGTCTAGCCAGGTCAGCTTCGGCCTCTTCTTCCCTGTAGCAAGTGATGGAACAAGAGGAAATGTCCTCAGGTTGTGTTCTTCATGGAAAGGGTTGTCAAGCACTGGAACAGGCTGTCCTATGGTTGTGTTGCCTTCCCTGAAGATATTTAAAAGGTATGTAGAGTCATGACTTAGTGGTGGACAAGGCAGTGCTAGATTAATTGTTGGACTCAGTGATTTAAAGGTCTTTCCAAACCTAAGCAATTCTATGGTTCAGTGATTCAGTAATGCTTTTTTTCCCCCCAACCCATTTTTTTTAACTATAATTTGCAATACATTATTGTATTACTGCTACAGTTAGGTAACAAAGACACTTTCAGAGTGCAAAGTATCTTTCTTACTTTCTTCTTATTAGTCTGTGGGTCCTGATGGGACCCAGAGTCCTGAGGGAACTGGCTAATGGAGTTGCCAAGCCATTCTACATGTTAGTTGAAAAGTCATGGCACTCATGAAGTTGCAGGGGACTGGAAAAAGGAAACACTGTACACATTATTGAAAAGATTAGAAGGAAAGGAAGACTGGGGAACTATGGACCTCTCAGCATCACCTCTGTGCCTGTGAAGGTCTTGGAACAGATCCTCACAGAAGCTCTACTAAGGCACATGGATAACAGGAAGGTAGTTAAAGTCAGCCAGCACAGCTTCACCAAGGGCAAGTCCTGCTGGACTCACCTGGAGGCCTTTGATGGAGGGACTACATCAAGGAACAATGGAAGCGTTACAGATGTTAATTATCTGGATTTCTGTAAAACGTTCCCTGCAACATCCTTCTCTCCAAATTGGAGAGAAATAGATTTGATGAGGGGACTATCAGATGGATGGTCCTATCTAGAGGGTAGTGGTGAATGGCTCAGAGTACCAGTGGACACCAGTGACAAGTGTTATTTTAACTTCTTCAATAATGACACAGATAAAGGGATCAAGTGCACCCTCAGCAGATTTGCAGATGACACCAAGCTGAGTGGTGCTGTTGACACACCTGAAGAACAGGATGTCATCCAGAGGGACCTGGACAAGCTCAAGAAGGGGGGGGCATGGGAATCTCATGAGATTTAACAAGAGCAAGTGCAAGGTGCTGAATATGGGTCAGGGCAACCCTTCGTATTATCACAGGCTGGAGGGTGAACAGCTCAAGAGCAGCCCTACTGAGAAGGACTTGGTAGTGCTGGTGGATGAGAGGCTGGACATGAGCCATCAGCGTGCACTGGCAGCTCAGAAAGCCAACTGTCTTGGGCTGCATCCAAAAGAGTGAGGACAACAGGTCAAGGGAGGGGATTTTACCCTTCTGCTTTACTCTAGTGAGACCCAGCTGCAGTGCTGTATCCAGCTTGGGGATCCCTAGCACAGTAAGTACACCAACCTGTTAGAGTAAGGCCAGAGGAGGGACACCAATATGATTAGAGGAAGAGAACATCTCTCCTCTGAGGAAAGGATGAGAGACTTGGGATTGGTCAGCCTGGAAAAGAGAAGGCTTCAGGGTGACCTAGTTGTGGCCTTCCAATACCTGAAGGGAGCCCACAAGAAAGATGGAGAGAGACTAGTTACAAGGACATGTAGTGACGGAACAAAGGGGAAATGGCTTCAAACTGACAGAGATAGGTTAGATATTGGGAAGACGTTCTTTATTGTGAAGGTGGTGAGGCACTGGAATAGACTGTCCAGAGACTGTCCAGGGTTGGCCCATCCCTGGAATTGTTCAAGGACAGACTGGATGGAATCCAAAACAACACAGAACATACCCACAACAACAAAAAACCTCACGAAAATAGGAAACCAGTCTTCATATGTTTCTTTCTAAGAATTATTGTCTTTAATTGAACTTTATAATTTTTAATCCTGTTGGAAGGTAATACCGTAACAACAGGTGGGTGTGTGGTGCAGTGTCATTGAACACCTCCTGAACTATTTGAGTATAGATGCTGATGCACACCACTGTTCAACAGTTGGGAGTAGTCTCTTATGTTTTGTCTTCTTTGTTGTACTCAGTGCATGTAGATAATTTTCTGGATTATGTTCATCTCAACCTTTAAAAAAAAGAAAGAATCTATGTAGAAAACAGTAAAAAAATTCTCATTTGTTTTCATTTTAGATAATATTCAAAAATTTTTTTTGTCACCATAATAATAATGAGAACATCTTTACCAGATTCAGTGATAAATAATCAAGATTTGGAGCATTTTTTTTGCCATAAGTGCAAACCACAATTAACTAGAAAACAAAATAATACAAAATTTAAAAAAAAAATTATCTATACCATACTTAAAGACTATAGAGGATAAGCACCTCTAATTAGCTTGATTGAATTAATTTTAGCTCAGATAGCACATTTGCTCCTGAGGTAATTCTATATGCATTTCATTATGTTTTTCTGCTGCATATAAAGTAATACAAAAGATTAGTCATTAGGTTTTTGGAGGTATTTATTCTAATTTTTCAATTGGCTACTGGTAAAAAAGCTATTAGTTGTTATTATTATAACTTTTTACTTTGGAGAACAGAAAAAAATCAAAGAAATATAGAAAGACAATGTTTTCAGATTGCCTCCTTGATACGACTGTTTATTTGTTCTGTGTTGTTCTGTTGTGCTTGAATGACATTCATTTTTCTCTGCTGTTTTGTTTTTTCTTTTATAAATGTTGACACAGCTAAATTTGAAAGAATTTAAATCTATTCCATTTCTTGTTTTAGATATATTCAGATATGCAATTATATTATGCTATTCTTTCACGCGTTTCTTATCTGAATCTTGCAGCCTTTTATTTGTGTTTGTCATTCTCATTCTTCCATACGTTTGTTCTAATCCACTTTTTTTCTTTAACTAAGACACATACAAGACAACACTTTCTCTGAAAAACAAATTGCAGTAATGTTACCGCTGTAAAACATGACTTCGTTTTTTAGCACCTTCCTGCTTCCTGTATTCATAAATTTACAAATTCTAACCCACAATCTGAAGAATCATCTTTGCTTTTTAAACTTTGGGTTTGATGACCAGCAGGCCCCTGGGGCTGAAAATAGTTTTTCCAGGTGGATTTCTGGAGCAAAGCCAATTAAAAGTTTTAGTAATGCCTCTGCCAATTACATATTTAAGAAAACAGAAGAGAAAGTTTGTTGCACAGATGCAATTAGGAGCCATGTGAGGGGAGGCGGCAGGCCCCAAGTGGGCCAGGTCTCTCTCCTTCCCCAGCCCTGGGCCGGGGGCAGGTGTGGCACTGAAGTCCCCCTGACCGAGATGTGTAACAGAGTGGAGGAAAAACTCTAAAGGAAGACTGCCTGGACTAGAAATACTGCAGAAGGAATTCCAGGTAGAGAGCGAGCGCAGCCTCCAAGGTCAAAGCTGGCAGCCGGAGCAGAGAGAAGAGAAACCCAAAGACAGGGGACTCCTTCTTTTCCCCTCTCTCTCTCTCTCTCTCTCCCTTCAGCAGGGAAGAGACTGAAAACTAAAAACCCCTGCCACCTGTAGAAGATTGTTGGGGAGCAGAGACCCTCCTCTGAAGCTGATGAAGAAGCCCACACCAAAGCAGAGGAGTGCATGAAGAAGATGTGACTCCATGGGAGGCCTAAGATGAAACAGAGTCCTGCTGGAGACCTGTGACCCATGGAGAGAGAGACCTACGCTGGAGCAAGGCGGTGCAGGTAGGATCTTGTGATCCCAGTGAGGGATCCATGCTGGTGCAGCTGAATTTGTGACCATGAGGGACAGCAGAGAATGGAAGAACTGTTGCCCGAAGGTGGACGCTAAGAGAGGTCCATCAAGGACTGTCTCCTGTGAGGAGGGACAAGAAACAGTGACATGGTTTGGGAAGCTAGGGTCATTCCAGACCAGCGAGTTCGCACAGCTGAGTTGTAGTTCTTGTTAGAATGCCCGGCAGGATCGTATTTTGTCTCACCCAGAGGTACTGACCAACCATACTCAGGAGACAGATTGCACAGGACAGCAGCTGTAACTGTGGGAGCTGATCTAATCTTTATTTTACAAAATGGGGGGTTTATAGGGCAGACAACAAAGGTTCTGGAATAAGGGAGAAGTTATGCAAAACTTGGATAGGATATTGGTCCATTACTAGGGATTGACAGAGACAAAGGGGGGGGGGGGAACACATGAATCTTTCAGATAATTTTTAAGTACCTAATTGGAAAGGGTAGATGCCCACCCTGGACAATTGTCCAATCAGGAGCTCTCTGCTTTCTCCTATGGGAGAAAACTTACAATCTAACAGAGACAGATTATTTATCTGATGCTGTCTGGCCTATCTTGTCAGAAGTTGTTTCCTTCCACCTTTCAAAATCCTCTTCTTCTTCCTGCTCATCTCCAACAAAACAGGAGTGGACTCAAAAGCCTTTATCTCCTGTAACTGTGGGAAGACCATGGTAAGGCTAGTGTCCCCTTGCAGTCCATAGAAGACCCCACAGGGCCTCGGTAACCCCCCAACTTCTGGTCTTAACCCAGGAGGGGGTAGGCCCAGTCTTGAGGTCAGCATAGGAGAGAGAGAGAGAGAGAGAGAGTTCCATCTGCGATGAATCCGAGTTGTCATCCTAGAGATAATAGAAGAACTTTCAAGTGCTGCAAAATTATTTAGAAGACCTGTAGCTCTGGAAATGGAAAAGAGACTGCTTCTCCTCCTGAACTGATACAAGAGGGGAGGGGTATTTCTGTAAATACATAGCACTTTTGCCTAGTTAGAATTATTGTATGTATAGTTCTTTACTTTTTATCCTGCCAGTAATAAATTCTGACATTATTTTCCCCACATCAGATCTCTTTTGTCTGCATAAACCTTCTCTCAATTTATAGCAATTGTGCGTGGGGTAAAAGAAATTAGCCCAAAGTAAACCCACAATAAAACTTAATCATAAGCCACCACAGAGGTAATTGGCACAGTACTTGAAGTAGCAAGTTGTATGTGATTATATCAGTGTCATTTCTTGATGGCATTAATTTACTGCTGTTACACTGTAAGAATACCTAGAGCTTCACATCCTAAACATTTCCCTTTGTCTCTACTAATTAATGCATTCCATAAGGAAGCACACTTAAGATTTATTAAATAAGGGTTGTGTTACCACATAATCTACCTCTTTTAATCTTCCCTTTTATAGGAAATAAAAAGATATCTTTTGTGGTGTCTCCAATAATAACTGGATTTCTTTGGTCTTAAGGCAGGTATTTTCAGCCCAATCACTCCAGTGGAGATAAACAGCTACCTGCCTTTCTCATGCAACTGATGGAAATTTTCTTTATTTTGGATTAGGAAAACTATTCTCTTGAAAGATATGACACAGCAAAAACATATTTAAAAAATACCATATTTGTGATAATTTTGATTCCTTAAAGAGCCCCAAATATGCTAAACCTTTTCCTAACTCAGAAATAAACACAAAGTTCAGTTTATTTTCTGAAGGACAACTGCTTTCAAATATTGAAAATTTTAAAACCAAAAAAATTTAGAGGCTGAAGCTCTGTAAGATATGTTATCTTAATAGAATGGAAATGTTATATTGTATTGATTGTCTTAATATAATAGAATTGGTATGGTTTTAGCACCAGTCCTTACTGCAGTCCCTTTTTGGTAAGGTTTTGAATATACGAGGCAGCAAAAGAGGGACACAAATATTGATCACACATTACAACATAGGAAATAATTAGAGCGGTGGAGGAAAGAGAAAAAAAATTAATTAGAACTACTTTTTCTCCTAATCTTTTTACTCCTCCTGAAGTCCTAGAGGGATTTTCCTTTTTTTTTTTTTTTTTTTTTACACTACAAGGTTTCTTGATTTGTTATTCATTTATGAATGGATGCTAATTGATATTGATCTCAATGCCTTGTTTATTATCATCTTCTGGAGAATAAATTATGCTAAGGTGATAGAGCTGTAGTGAATTGTGGTCCTGAGGGCAGAATCAATATACATAGGAAAGTCTGCAGAAACTGTTCTGCTCTGAAGCACATTGTAGTTAAGAAAGATTAATTTGGAAGGCATGGATAAAAACAGAGAAATGGGACACCTAAAAAAGAGATGATAGGGATAGAAACTATGTTAGATACCAGAAAAGAACAGGAGAAAGTTGCTGAGACCACAGACACTATGAGATTCTTCCTTTACTTTTTTTTTTTTTTTGTAGCTTTGCAAAAGGAAATATTTAGCAAAAGCAATAGAGTAAGAAAAAAGCATAGCAGTCAAAGCCGTATATAGAAATATAGTTATATATCTGTGCTATTTTGACAATGTTTAGGGGTTCTAGGCCTGGACAATGAGAGAAATACTGTGAGCTTTGTCACTGCAATGTCACTGTGCATGTGAGAGGTATTATTGTGGAAAGCCACTTATTTTTGTGGATGGACAGATTTCTGAAGTAGACTGTTCCTATGCCAGAGCAGACCAGGGTAATAAAAGCAAGTCCTTCTTTGGAGAGTGGTAAGTATAATGGAAAAGAAAGTAATGTATTTACTGAACAGTAATAGAATGTTTTCTAATAACACTCAGATTGAAGTATTGCCATGTCTGTCTTGAAGAGTTATGGAAATGCTACATCTATACAAATAAGAAAAGATTATTTTCTCCAGCAATAAAATGAATGATAGAACAGTTTATTACTGTTGCCAGAAAATTTATACTGACAAATATACCCACATAATTCATTGCATGGAAAAGAACGTTATATTGTCTTGTCAAAGGAAAACATCATTTTAATTTAAGACAAATTGTACTTTACTAGCTGGTACAGACTTCATAGATTGTAGGTCTGAGTAATGAAACTGATTTAAAGAAAACATCTAAGATATTACTTTAACAATTACCTGATTAGAACAACTCAGCCTTTGATCAGCATTGCTCACATTTTGAGGAAGTTGTTCTGTGAACTGACTCATTTTACGAAATACCTTCCATAATATCAAGCTTTAAAGTTTAAGTATACCTCAAGGCATCAAATACTGGAGGGGAAAAATAATTCTGTCATCCTGTGCTCTATAAGAATTGTTCTAGAAAATTATGGTCCTCCTGGAGACATTATAATCTCTCATTTTATTTGAATCATGCAAAGCATGCTATTAATAGAAAAAACTCCTCAAAGGGTCTCACTTTGTAAAGTAGAATAGGGCTTAGCCAGTGCAGTACAAGTTGGAGTAATAACATGGTATGTAAAACTGTAAGTTTCTTAATCTCTTTCACAGAGGAGAAAGTGTGATGTGAAATCTTTTCCCCGGGGGACAAACAGCACCTTAGAACCTCTCATTTTGGCAGTGAGGCATGATTTCGGTCTCAGTAAGGTTGAAGTAACCCCAATGCGTGCTGTTCTGGCATAAGTGAAAGCAAGATCATTTCAGAACCAACTGTTCAGGGGAAGAATGACAGGATTAATGACTTCTTTATCTCTTCTGGTGATGCCCTTGTTGATGCAGACCAGCATCCCAGTGGCTTTCTTTGCTGCAGCAGCACAGAGTTCACTCGAGCTTGCTGCCCAACAGGACCCATTGGTCCTTTCCACAGCCAGCTAGATCCCCGCCTGTCTTACATCCGTGGGCTACATTTTCTCAGATGTGTTACCTCACACTTGTCTATGTTGAACTTCATAAGATTATTGTTAGCCCACTCTTCCAGCCTATCCAGGTCTTCCTGCAAGGTAGCTCTCCCTGACAAAATGCCCACTTCCCCCAGTGATCAATTTGGCATCATTGGCAAACTTTATCACATTACACTTGATCCCATCTTCCACATCACTTATGAATGCAGACCACTTGTCCAAACTGTAACACGTCTGTTTTTCTAGGAGGTGGCTGTAGGAAATCCTATGGAAAGCCTTGAAGAACCCCACTGCTTGCCCCACATCAACTGAGCAAGTTACTTTCTTTTAGAAGGTGGTCAGGTTTGTCGAGCATGACTTGCCTCTGGTGATTCTGTGCTGGCTTTTCCCAGTCATGTGCTTCATCTAACTTGTGATGACCTCCAGGAGGATTTGTTCCATAGCTTTCCCAGGCACTGAAGTAGGACTGGTAGGACTATAATATCCTGGATCCTACTTAAACCCTTCTTGTAAGCTGGGGTCTACACTAGCCTTCCTCCAGGCTTCTGGGATGTCCCCTAATCTCCATGACTTCTTAAAGATTGCAGGCAGCAGCCTAGCAATGACATCAGGCAGCTTAACACACACATGTTGATATTGTCAGGGTTCAGTGATTTGTATAGGGGCTAAGCTATGATAGTTCACATACCAACTTTTCCTTCACTGATGGTGGGCCCATGTTTGCATCAGCCTGGATGTTTGTTTCCAAGGCCTGGGGCCAAACAACACTGGTAAAGAAGGAAGTGTTGAGAATCTCTGCCTTTTCAGCATTGTTGTGACTAATTCTCCTGTTTAACAGGGACCCAGTATTTTGCTTCTGTTATTTTCCTTCTGTTTCTGCCTGTTCTTTACATACCTGAAGAACCCTTTCTTGTGTTTTTTTTATGTGTCTGGCCAATTTCTGAACTTTTGCTTTTCTAACTGGATCTTTGCACACCCCGGCAATGCCCTTGTACTTCTTAACAGGTATTTGTCCACTTGCCATCTCTGGTCTGCTTCTTTTCCAGTTTCAAGCAGATTTGAAAGCTCAGAACTAAGCCAAGGGAGTCTATTGCTCTGCCTCATTCCATTGCTCTTAAAGTGCATGAACTGTTTTTGTGCTTCCTGGAGAATGTTCTCAAAAAGATCCCAGCACTCATTAGCTTTTTCATCCTTCATGGAAGCTTCCTATGGAATTTCTTCCAGTAGAGCTCGGAGCAAACTCAAGTTTGCTCTTCCAAAATCTAAACCCTTCATCTTAATACTAACCTTCTATATTTTTAGGCAGATTCCAAATTGCACAATATTATGGTCTCTGCAGCCAAGGTTATCACTAACCAATATACTACCAAATATTTTCTTGGTTTGTGAGCATCAAGCCCAGAAGTGCCTCATTCCTGTTTGGCACACCTAATCTTTGTATGAGGAAAGAGTCCTCTATGAATTCCAAGAACTTTTAAGAGATTCAGGTGTTGCTTCATTGGCCTTATTGTCTTGCTTTGGAGGTCAATAGCAGATGTCTGCTCTAAGATAACCCTTGGAGACAACCCCTCTGATCTTGACTCAGAGACAATCAAGTGGGCTTCCAAAATTGCTATAGTAAGATTTAAAAGATAGACCAGAATAGATATTTCTCCTTTTTTTTTGTTAACTTTTCTTTAGAAAATTCAAGTATGGAGTAGGTTTTAATTTAGTTGATAAAGTACTCAACTGCTTCCCATTTTCCCCCTGAAGATAAAAACAGTGTTAGAAAAAAACTACTAGATATATTTATACAGTAAAAGTAATCCTTTTCTTTTGCACATTTTGATTGCCAGAAACTAATGAGAAACAAAATATAACCATAATCCTTAGTTCCAAATCACATTAAGCCTGATGCACATTAGCTTAGTATAAGATTGGATATTTAATTGTATCCACTATAATAATGAGAACAGACATGAAACAAAGGGGAAACAAACAATTGCTCTGTTACATTGAACAAGTAGGACATACAAATTACTAAACTAATGCAAGCTCACTGAAGTTTTTGAGTAAGGGGACTAATTTTTTTTTTTTTAAAAATTAGGTTTATTTTAAATATATCTTGGGGAGGTGTGGGAGACAATGTGGAATACATGCAATGGAAACATCAATCTTAGAGGAGAAACAGTTGCAGCCCGAGAGAACTCCTGGAGTCAGCTCAGTGAAACCTCACGTTGCAAAGTCATCGTTGCGTTACCTTATGTTATGTAATCTCCCTCCCCCTGTTATCCCATGCTGCCTTCACTGGAATGCACTTCCTGTTCTGCCCCCAGAGCGGGAGTCCCACCCCTATCCAAACTCCATTGGCTGTTTCCCCTGCCTTTCCTCGGTTCCTGGGTTCTTACTGGGTATTACCTCTCTATCTCTCTCATTGGCTGGCCAAGTAGCCAAGCCTCTCCCTTCCTCCCAGAATCCTTATAAGCTGTGGAAAACTTGAACACAGTCTCTTTGCTTACCTGCCTGCGTGCCATGTGTTCACTTCTGCGTCCTGCACCTGGGCTCACAGCGCTGCAATTCCATCCTGGTGAGGTGGATAGCAGAGAGCATTTCCCTCTCAATCCTGTCAGGGAAGTTGTTATATTTTGGTTTTTTCTTTGTTTGCTTGTTTTATTTCTGCTGAAATCCATAATCTTTTCTAGAGTTTCATTATTTCAAGAGCGCCATAAAAAAAGTGAGGTAGAGAAAACAGGATGGGAACCAAATACAAAGTTTCTCCTAAATTTTTCACTGAAGATTAAATTCACTGATGTATAGTACAGTTAAGTCTTTAAATCCAGAGTTTATTTTATTTTTACTATCTTTCTCCAGTCCTCTACCCAGTTGTTTTGTCTCATGTAGAAAGGCCAAGATGGAGTTTCTAAGGGATGCTCAAGAGCTGTAGTTTAGTGTGATGGCATAGTGGAAAGACAGTGTTTGATCTGCAAAACCACAGTGGCATAGACCATATATTTTCTATTGCCTGATTAGAGACTACTGAACGTATATTAGATTTTATGACTAAGTGATATTTCTTGAGAGGAAAAGAAAGGAGCAAAGACCGCAAACAGCAAGAAGTTGATGCAATCTGTTCTGTAACATAATGTCCGTCGTCACCCTCTGGTACTGAAACACCTAGTTTAGTGACAGGGATTTAAAATGTAGTTAGGCCAGATTGTACTTATTTTTCTTAACTGGTCACATTAATTAATACTAAATTCAGCAGCAAGATTTAGATACTTAGATATTTTCTCATCAAATTTAACGTAGAAGAGAAAAATGAAGCCCTGAACTAGTGATGCAAAAAAACTGCCCAGATGTGACAAAATGAATTCAAAGAGGCAGTACTTTGATTCTGAATTCTGCCAAGTAGCAAAGGAGAGTGAGGGACGTCAAGTAATTAAAAGTTGTGTTTCTGACAGGTAATATATTTTTAGGGAGAGCAGTTCCAGGACGAAAAATACAGTTATGTTTATGCAAACAGATCAGTTCCTCAGATGTATAAACAGGAATAATAGCAAAAGCATTGGCAGTAGCACTTATACTGTCTCTTTATCTCCTTTATCCTTAGAATTATCAAAAGGCAGGAATCTACCATACAAACACAAAACAGAAATAGAAAACTAAATAAGTGGCCAGAATGAACACTTTTCCTGCTTGAAAGAACCAATAATACAAGCATAAGGAAGAAATACAAGATGAAGACAGATGCATGGACGAATTTGAGGAAACAATTAGAGTGCACTGGTCATTGTGATAAGCAGCAGAAACCACATATAAGTGTTTTAAACATGTCATATCTTTGTAGGCAGTGCTCCAAAAAAAGGTTTTAAGGAAGGGTTTTAAAGCAAAAAATACAGACATTACAAAGTTATTCAAAGATTCTTGCCACAAGAGGGACTGCTGGGGTGGAGAATTACAGATGTATTCATTTGAATGTCCTGCTATTTATTCATATCAGTGCATTCTCTGACTTGAACAAATGAAAACAAAACTGTTTACAAAATCAGTGTTTATCTCAAAAATCCAAGAAATGCTCTCCTATCCTAATTGTGAGTTATCTATATAAAAATATATTTTAGAAAAATAAAAATCTAGTGTTTAAAAGGTTATATCAGAAAGCCTGAAATGCTGTAATAACTTGTAATATATTCCTGGGCAAACTCTGAAGAGGCCAAAGTCTCCTCTCCTGAAACGCAGTGCTGTGATCCTGCTTTTTGCCATTCACCCTTCTTGTAGGATCCTAGACCCACAATTTTATGGTCACTGCAGCCAAGGCTGTCCCTGACTTTCATATCCATGACCAGTTCTTCCTTGCTTGAAAGCAGCAAGTTCAGCAGGGCACCCTGCCTTCTTGGTTCCTCAATCATGCATCATCCACATGCTCTAGAAAATCTCCAAGACAGCTTGAACACTTCTATGTTATCCCTCCAAGAGATATTGGGGTAGTTGAAGCTCCCCAGAAGGATTGGGGCCCAGAAATGTGATGTTTCTTCCAGTCATCTGAAGACCTCAGCTACCACTTCTTTCTATTCAGGAGATCGATAGCAACACCCACTGCAACAACCACCACCCTGCTCCCCCTACTGATCTTCATTTATAAGCTCTCAGCTGACTCCTTACCCATGCCTGAGACAGCTCCATGCACTCCAGCTGCTCTCTCACATAGAGGGCAATTCATCCTCTTCACCCTCCTGCTCTATCATTCCTGAGGAGCCAGTATCCAACCATCACTGAACTCCAGTCATGTATGGTCTTACCACACTTCCCTAATTCACTGTGGCTGTAATGTTATGCCTGCAAACAGACTTCTATCTTATGGGTGGTTTTTTCCATACAACATGCACTTCAGGCATTTCAGAGAGTGCACTGGGGGTATGTGGCAAGATTTTGGTGACAGAGTGGTTACAGGGGTGACTTCTGTGAGAAGAGGCTAGAAACTTCCACTATATCCAACAGAACCAATCCCGGACAGCTCCAAGCTGGGCCCACTGTTGTTAGTCAAAGCTGACTCCCTCAGCAATAGTAGTGGTCCTGGGATAACAGACTTAAGAAGAGAAAAGATTGCTGCACAGCAGTAGCTGGGAGAGAAGAGTAAGAACAGGGGGAGGAACAGCCCTGCAGACCCCAAGACTGGTGAAGAAGGAGGGGGGAGGAGGTGCTCCAGAGGCTGAAGCAAAGATTCCCCTGCAGCCTGTGGTGAAGTCCATGATAAGGCAGCTGTGCCCCTGCGGCCCATAGGGTCCACAGGGAATCAGATAACTTCATGCAGGTTGTACAGAACCCTGTGTGTGGGGTTCATGCAAGGCATGGATGACTCAAGACATCAATACGATCATCAGAGAATGCCGTATATTCAGATCAAGCGGTAGCCTTTTATATAGTTATTATACTTCCGTACATGCACTTGCTACTTTGCTTATTGGTTATATTAGCTGTTCATGCGCCTAACATGCACTAACAGTTCTCTTCTATTGCTTCATCCTCATTGATGTTCTTTATGTCCTTAAACATCCTGATAACCTGTACTTGGATCCTGTTTTGTATATCTATTTCCTTATTACTGTTTATCTTAGTGGTTCTCTTTGTCTTTCATACCCTCATAGCATCAGAACGCCATCAAAACAAAAGGTCATGTTCTCACAATTGCAACGTATCTTCTGTGTTAGCACTATAAACCCCTACACCTCTCCCTTTTTCTTTAAACAAAGCAGATACAGTTTGGGCTACCAAGCTGCAAAAATATTGTATCAAACATGTTAAAAAAATACATATTCCAAGAAGCAGTAAGACAATGGGTACCAGCCACTGTACAATTTTCATATGCCATGGTCCTAACCCAGCTCCCTTCAGCCGATCAGTAAATGGTGTCGTGCCATAAGTAACGTGATTTAAGCGTTCTTATAAGGTCTGCAATTGTTTGTGTATGTTCTGCAAATGGTCAGACATATTCATGCAACACGTGCCTTCAAATTCTTGGCACCCACGGCCTTGTGCTAGCAATAAAAAGTCAATTGCTGCTCTATTTTGCAAAACTGTGTGTCACACACTATCTACATCAGTTAAAAGCTGAGATATAGTATTGGACGTTGTATTAAACTGTTTAACACTCTAACATGCTAAGCATTTCAATTTAGCATAGCTAGCAGCTGCAGCTCCTCCAGGAACAAAAAAGACTAAGGCTATTCTTCCCGCCTTTGTTCCAATTTGGACGTTATCATCACAGTCTGGACTGAAATGATAAAGACCTCTTTTCATACATCGTGTATCTTTCCACAATTGCCTTAGGTTAGGGGCAAAAAGTGTTAATTTTCCGATGTAACATGGACCTCCCACTGGATGAAAAGGGATGCCTCCCCATGCACGATCACCACAGATAAGGAAATATCCTGGTGGTAATAAATAACCTCCAGAGTTGTTAACATTAAACCACCTTGTGCTATTCATAGAAAAGTCCAATGTTCAGAATTACTGCTTACATTTTGATATCCTTTCCATGCTAATTGTTCACCCTGTGTTTGAAGCCAGAGGTACCAAGGTTTCCCAAAGTCAGCTACTCCTGTTCCATTCCATGGTTGTTCTTGAGGGCTAACATTGCTACAGTTGGTATGTGAAGTTACATTTGCCCACTGAGCAGGTGCTACAGAGCCTAACAGGTCTAATTCTTGTAATGGAAGTGGACTTGAATGGTTCAGGTGTTGTATGAGATATTGTTGTACAAAAGCACTTTGCATTACCGGCACAGTGTTACTCCACATGCATTCCCCAGAGGAGCTCTTGTTCTGTCTTGTATTATTAAAAATTTGCTCCATTTTGGCAAAGCTACCATTAAACCACCCGTCAAATGCCTGTTCTTCAAACATAGGGTAACCAATAAGGCATGTATGAAAAGGATCCCCAGGCATTGCTAAAGATAGACAAAAGTCAGTTTGTCCAGTTTGGTTTGCCCATGTAACCCACATGTTTTTTCTTGGGTTAGTAAGGCCTGTGGTTATGTCAACAGTAAGTATTAACGCCATGGTGACTGTTGATGCCACCAGCGACGACGTTCTTGCTGCCACTGATCACTCCACACAAACCAAGACCGTGGTAATTTCATCTGTTCTCCACAACTACTATCTACAATAACAAACCCTTTTATCACCTGATTGCAGGCTGCTAAGTGAACAAATTCAAAGATAATCAATGCATTTGCCTTACATTCATAATTTTCTATTAATTTCAATGCTTGCAAAAAGGTACCGTTGTGATGGCTAACTGAAAAACCTAAAAAATCACTAAACCATCTATCCACAGAAAGCTAATTTCTTAGGTGCTGATCGCATACATGACACAATAAATGTAATACAACTGCATCAGAATTGTGTACAACTCTCCAATGGCTTTGATCACACCTGCTACAATATACACATATCCATGGCCTACATCAATACCCGTGTCTACGACAAATATTACGCAATCTTGGAGGGGCTTGTAGTACTGATTCCAGGCGTTCCGGTAGAAGGACCTCTCGTGTAAAGTTCATCAGATGCTGGAGACCAGTAGCCTGCAACCATGGAGTAAGGGCACAGTGCAGTCTATACAAATGTCATTGTTCTGCATCAGGTGCCAGAGGATACGGCTGGCTCAGGCTGTAGCCACAGCTTTATCCATTTCACCGGGATCCAATGAGGTTCTTGATTATCTGTGAAAACCCAAGTATACCCCCTTCCCCAGGTTAGAAACGTGTTTGGTCCTTTCCGCTGATTAAGAACAGGGTCATAAACCTGTACTAAAGGTTTTGATATATCATGGACCATATCCTGATCGCGTGCAATATGTCATTGTGCTGCTGGCAAATCATCATCACTCGTTTTTAGCCCAAAGCTAAAGCAGGGGAAGACTGCAAGGTTGCTCCTTAACAAGTGTCAGAGATAATATGCCATGAACTATCCACAGTTCCTGTTCCTGTCCTGCTGCGCTGCTCAGTGGGAAGTGGTAGAGAATCTGGGAAAAAACTGAAGTCCAGGGAGAAAGTGGAGGTGGGCCAAAGGTATATTAAGATTTATTTTTATTTCTTATTATTTCACTCTGATTTGATTGTAAAAAGAATAATTTCACAAGTCAAATCAGTTCTTCCCATTAGGATAATTGGTGAGTGGTCATTTCCTGTCATTATCTTGACTATTCACTATATTCTTTCTCTATCTGTCCATTTGAGGAGGGAAGTGACAGAGCAGCTTTGGTGGGCACTTGGCATCCAGCCATGTCACAACAAAGAGGCACTCAAGTGTACAGATTACTTCTTACAGGCAAGAGTTTTCACAGCAAGGCTGTTCTCTAGACACTTGAATTTCCTTACATGACTGTTCTCAAACAGATTTCATTTCACTCCTGTATTGTTAATTACTGTATCCAATTCTGCTCCCATCACCCCAGGCTTTTGGCTTGCCTACCCCATCCATTACTTCTTTACTTACAGAGAAATCTCTCCCTCAGCAGTCATTCCTAATTTAAATGTCTCCCTGCT